ACAGACACACACCCACACACAGACACACACACAGACACACACACACAGACACACACACACACAGGCACATACACACAGACACGTACACACAGACACACACACACACAGACACGTACACACAGGCACACACAGACACACATGCTAACATTTTTAAACCAAAGTGAAATCATTCTAAGAAGATAAACCTTACAGCTGTTCCAGCTCCAGAGTCATCATGAGGATGTTCTCAACCGTCGTGAGTTGCACCTGTGTGGCCCCCAGGTCCCTGAAGGAGACAGACAGACTTCATGACGAACCATTTCACCACACACTTACTTAACCGTCAGCTTTCCTATAAAACTAACTTGGCTCAAGATTTACTGTCTTGTTGGAGAGATGCCTTGGAGGTTGAAGGCCTGTACTTCTCAGACCTGAGTTCAGTTGCCAGTAGCTACACAGGGCAGCTCACAACCATCTGCAGCTCCAACTCCAGAGCGTCTGCTGCCCTCTTCTGGCCTCTCCAGACACTTGCGCACACATGTGGACATATTAGCATACAGACACATATATCATACAGGTAAACAAATAAAAATAAAATCTTGTTGTCATAGAAGAGATTATTTCACTGAGCTCCTTTTGAAAAAAGAAGGAAGTTTGCCATTTCCATCCTCAAATGAATGACCTCAGCATAGACTCGAACATGTCTTTATTGCACTCTCTCACCTCTCACGTTTATGTTGGATTCTCCCTACTGTAACTACCACTCTATAGTTCTTATTTTTCACTTAAATTTCAAATATTTAAAGCCCATTTATTTTAAGTTCTGTCCATCTGTATACACTATTTATAGTAAAGACACAGGAAGCTGGGGTATTTTAATTTTTGAGCCAGGGTTTTTCTGTGTAGCCAGGCTGGCCTTAAGTTTACAGCAACCTGTCTGCTTCTGCTTCCTAAGTGTTGACACTAAAGATGTGCATAATCACACAGAGCCTCATTTTCTTATTTATTCTAAAAAAATGCGTATTTACTATTTATGTGTGTATGTGTGCGTTCAGGTGCCTGTTGAGGCCAGAAGACAACAGATGCCCTGGAGTTCCGGACGGTGTGAGCCACCTGCTATGTGAGCCACCTGCTATGTATGCTGAGAACTGAACCTGAGTCCTCTAGCAGAACCACTGAGCCATCTCCCCAACTTCCTTTTCATTTTAAAGAAAAGACTTAGCATGTGTGTGTGTGTGTGTGTGTGTGTGTGTGTGTGTGTGTGTGTTTGTGTGTAGGAGGTACCCACAGAGAACAAAGGTGTCAGATTTCCTGGAGCTGGAGCTGGAGTTCCGGGCAGTTGTGAGAGGCCCAGTGTGGGTGCTGGAATCAAACACGGCTCATCTTTTTAAAAATAGTACACACTGGGGTTTGGCCTTTAAACATTTCGTTCTTTCAGAGGACTAGGGTTCCATTCCCGAATCGGCAGACTCCCACCTATCTGTAACTCCAGGCATTTATGGGCACTGTATGCACAGACTGATAGGCATTCAGAGAGAGAACATCCATACACTTGAAATGTTTCTTATTTTAAAAAGCAGTGTACACTTCTGGTTCTTCGCTTTCTGAGATGATATTCCTACATGTGTTTACATAAACATCCCTGTGTTCTTAAACACATTTCATCCTCAGCTGAATATCTTGCCTATTGTATCATTTCTTTACCCTTTTTATATTTTCCCATATATATGCATAGTTATGTGTGTATGTATGTATGTATGTATGTATGTATGTATGTATGTACACATGTGCCATAGTGGATATGTGGATGTCAGAGGACAAATAGTGTGAGCTAGTTCTTGAACTTGGGTCCTCAGGCTTGATGGCAAGCCCCTTTATTTGCTGAGCTATCTTGTCAGGACTCTTAACTTTTATTTCTTTCATTTTCATTTTAAGTTTTAAAACAGTGTCTCCATGTAGAGCTGGCTGGTCTGTAACTCACAGAGATCCCCTGCCTCTGCCTTCCAAGTGCTGGGATTAAGAATGTGTGCCACCTCTCCAGGCTTTCCACTCTTTTTTCAATGACTTTTTCCCCCCAACAATATAGTTAAAACTAAAATTCTGATTTTTTTTTATTAATGCAAAATTCCCTCTTGACAAAAAATAAACAAAGGAGCCGGGCGGTGGTGGCACATGCCTTTAATCCCAGCACTTGGGAGGCAGCGGTAGGTGAATTTCTGAGTTTGAGGCCAGCCTGTTCTACAAAGTGAGTGCCAGGACAGCCAGGGCTACACAGAGAAAACCTGTCTCGAAAAAAACCATAAACAAACAAACAAACAAACAAAGGGCAGAAATCATCGTAGGAACCCAAATACTTACAGAGATTTTAATGTTGGCAACTTAAAAAGGAAAGGATCTTCGACAGCTGTCAGAGGGTTACGGTTGAGGATTCTGAAAAAGCAGTGGGATTCATATTACACACAGTTCAACCTACTTCATCCCACTGCACAAGTTCACCTTCATTCCTCAGTATGGAATATAAATATATGTGTATACAGATATGTCATATTTAATACTTTTTAACCTATAAATCACCCTTAGAATCCGTGAACAGTCTTCCTTTGAAGATTATCCACATGTATGGAAAATAAAAGAGAAAAAATAGAGAAAAAGAAAAAAAGGCAAAATACAAAGAAAAGAAACGTTAAGAATTTCTAGGTCAGAAATCTATCAAACAATTACACTGGTGGTAAACCTCTTCCTGTATAGAAAAGGCTTTATTTTGTTTTTGGATTTATTTATTTATTTATTTATTTAGTCCTTCCTTATAGCCCTGGCTGTCCTGGAGCTTGTTCTGTGGACCAGAGTGTCCTGGAACTCAGAGATCCTCCTGCCTCTGCCTCCCAAGTGCTGGGATTAAAGGGATGTGCCACTCTACCTCACTGGAAAAGGCTATTTTTAATGTCTCCCATAATTCAAGGTGTTTGTCCATTTTTAGAAATATAAAACACTTTGTAGTCAAGAAAAATAATAGGACAGTTTCCCTGGCTTTGGAGAAAAAGAAAGACTGTTTCTTGGTGCACAAGTAGTGCATGTTTTCACTAAGCTACAGCTCACACAGAGCTGGGCCCCTGTCACAGCAGGCTCCTGTCACAGCAGGCCCCTGTCACAGCAGGCCCCTGTCATAGCAGGCTCCTGTCACAGCTGAGCCCCTGTCACAGCTGAGCCCCTGTCACATCTGAGCCCCTGTCACAGCCAACCAAGCCCCTGTCCCAGCTGGCCCCCTGTCACAGCTGTCCCCCTGTCACAGCTGTCCCCCTGTCACAGTAGGGCTCCTATCAAAGCCTGGCTCCACCACATGGTCTCACTTGTGCTCTTGATCATCACAGACTAAGTGAGCCTGTGTATGTGCCAGGCTCCTGGTCATGAGCTCAGGAGGACAAAGACGGTACCTTGTCGCCACCATCACCCCTGTGCCTGGAAGGGCACCTGAACTAACCATGGTATTTACCAAGTGTTTATGGGATAAGTAAGCAACATTGTTTATACGCCAATAAAATTAATACATTCTCTCTCCTGCTCTCTTGACAGAGGACCTTGTTTAGTTTCCCAGGCCGACAAACAAAAACAAAATAAAATAGGAGAAATGAAGTGAAACAGGGAAAAAACGCTTAGCTTTAGTCTGTTCCCAAATCAGTATACCTCATATCAACAATCACCTCAGCTCCCAAGCACCTGTGATCCTGGCATGTTTAACCCTGACCATAGGTGCTAGGGTAAGCATCACCTCATTTTCTTTAAAAACGTTTATTTTAAATTAAATGAAGTGTTTACGTGTGTGGGGAGCAGGGGCAGTGTCTGAGGAGTCCACAAGAGGGAGTCAGAGCCTGTGGAACTTTGTCCTCTGCAAGCGCAAGATGCGCCCTGTGGTACTGAGCCATCTCTCCAACCACCGCCCCTGCTTTCCAGATGAGGAAACCAAGGCACACAAGGTTTGTATAACTTGTCCTCATCTGCTAAGGGCATGCAAAAAAAAAAAAAATCAAAATTGAAATTTGAGGTTAGTTCTGATTCCAAAGTATGGAGAAAGGGGATTTAAGAGAGCTACAATTAAATCTTCCTCTTGAGGCTTAGGTTAGGACAGTTTTAAATTTTATTTTTTATAATTATGCCAGGCTGTGTGTGTGAGTGCCAGGGGGCTGTGGATGTCAGCAAACACTTTTGAGGAGTCTGTTTTCCCTATACACTGGGTCCGGGAGTCAAACAGGCCACCCGACTTATGCAGCAACTTTACTTTCGAAACCATCTCCACACCTAAGTGCCTTTCTTTTTCTTTATTTTTTGACAGGGATGGGGATTGAACCTAGGATTTCATGCACGGCTGATGTGTGTTCTTGCTAAGCTAAAGCTCACACAATATATTTTGATCATTTTCTTTCTAGAAAACTTTTACAAACACAATTTCCTGGGGCTGGCCAGTTGGCAGAAATGGCAGTTAGTAGGTAGGGGCCTTACTGTCAACTTGACAACTGTAGTTCAGTCCCTGAGCCCAGTTGTCTTTCCCAGTTGTACCATGGCACACGCAAAGTAATAAGTAAAGGTTGAAAATGCACATTTTAAGAGTGTATTAATAGTATAAAATAATGGGTTTGAAATAACTTAAAAAAAAAAAAAAGAAAAGAAACAGGCTAGCCTCAACCTTGAACTCACTATACAGCTCAGGGTGACTTTGCTACTCTGATCTTCCTAGCTTTACCTCCCATGTGCTGGGATTACACACCAGCACGAGTGGCTTAGAAGTTAACTGCTTCAACCTCATGTGCTCATCCGAGAATGCTACTGTAAGAATTATGGTTTCCTTTTATTCCTTTTCCTTAATCATGTCCCGTGATTAACATTTAATTGGCCCGTTGTCATTGAGACAACATGTTGATATCATTGAAAACAGTTCAGTAAGGACACCAGAGCTCATCCGGTGTAAAAGAATGAATTATCGAACTGTGGAAAGTTAACCAAAGACTTGCCACACTCCGGAATCAATCATTTATTCAAGAAAGTCAACTCAATTTCTGTGAGAACGATAGGATTTGTGTTGTCTTTACTTCACCTAAATCATTCCTCATCTTAGCTCAGTGGCAACCTTAAAACACACACGCACATGTGCGTGTGCACACACACACACACACACATACACGGCCTCACTGTGAGAGGGAGCAGAATCGAGCTGTAGCTCCTTCAAAGCCTCAATCCTAGGGAATTGGTGGCCCCTAGTGAGACCAGACTTGTCTGTATGTGACCTTACCAAGCATTCTCTAGTTCTAGAAACTTCACCCAGAAGGTGATTTTTCCCCCAGAAGGCCATTCACCCCATGGATATACTTAGGGGTGTGCAGATACTTCAGCAGGGATAAGACTTGGATTTTCCTTTCATTTCCTTTCAGGGTTATGCTCTTGACATAACCATAGCCAACCTATCATATGAACGTGCTCGGTCTGAATAATGTGTAGCTCTTCTCCCAAGTGAAGACTTCCAGGGAGTTTATTAGTAGCAACAATGAACTTTTAGCAGTTAGTAGCAAAAGAATTAAAAAAAAAAAAACAAGCCATCAGTCTGGATTTGCTTAGGGAAATGAAGGAGAAGCATTTTTAAAGTTGGAAGGAGGTGGGAGATACATTTATCATTTAGATTATCAACCATATTTTTTTTGTAACATTTTTCATACAAATGAGGAAAGATTCCTGCTACCAATCAAACAATGGCATGTAACTAATGAGCTTTTGGTGTATTTTTTACCTGAATTTCAGACTCCAGAGCACCTGCTCCTGGGGTACTGCTAACACGTAGCATCAGTGTTTGACAGTAACATGGAGGCTGTATTCAGTAGGTACCTAGAATCAGAGGTGTCTATGGATCTTGAGGGGCCTAACCCTTAACTAACTTGGGACCTTTGTACAAACTTTTATAATGCAGGGAAAATAGAATTTCAACCCCCAAATATTCCAGGAATCACATATCAGGTGTCACAGAATTTTTCTTCTCTCCCTTGGCAACTTGCCTTTGGAAAAGATACAAGAAGCTTGTGTCCCACCAGAGTCCATGCCTATAGAGGAATTTCCCTTAATCATCTGATTGGCTAATACAAGATGACAAGTAGCTGTTCATTGGCCAAAAATGAGGATGCGGGTTCTCTGTGCAAGATGGGAAGAGGAGGGGAAGAGGAGGAGTTGCAGGGCTATCAAACAGAGGAGGACAGAGGGAGAGTGGTTGGAAGGAAGATGGAGCAGAAGCGCCTGGCCTGGAGAAAGTGCAATTATCCTCCATCCTCAACCCAGATGCCTAGACACCAGTGTAAGAACACAACCACAGCAAAGGGAATATGTCAGCACCAGAGCCCAGTTATCCTACTACAGCAAGCCCTGAATATCCCAACACAGCTGAAGCACAAGACAACAACCTTAAGCTGAACTTTATGAAGGCGAGAGAGGTCCTTAAAGAGGAAATGAATACATCCCTTAAAGAAATCAAGGAAAAGAAACAAAAAAATAGGAGGAAATGAATAATAAACCTTAAAGAAAGCCAAGAAAAAAAAAAACAGAGTTGAATGAGACAAACAAAACTGTTCAAGACCTGAGAATGAAAATGGAAGCAATAAAGAAAACACAAACTGAGCAAATTCTGGAAATGGAAAATCTAGGTGAGTGAACAAGAATTACAGACGCAAGCATCTCCAACAAAATACAAGAGATGGAAGAGAGACTCTCGGGATACCTGTTCTTGCCTTTGGCAACATGCCTTTGGAAAGATTCAAGAAGTTTGTGTGCTACTTGTTTGCATATGCTCGGTCCAGAGAGTGACACTATTAGAAGATGTGGCCCTGTTCCAGTAGGTGTGACCTTTTTGGGGGTAGGCATGGCATTGTCGGTGTGGGGTTTAAGACCCTCATCCTAGCTGCCTGGAAATCAGTATTCTGCTAGCAGCCTTCAGAACAAGATATAGAACTCTCAGCTCCTCCTGCACTATGCCTGCTTGGATGCTGCCATGTTCCCACCTTGACAATAATGGACTGACCTCTGAACCTATAAGCCAGCCCCGATTCAATGTTGTCATTATAAGAGTTGTCTTGGTCATGGTGTCTGTTTACAGCAATAAAACCCTAACTAAGACAGCTACCATGAGACATATTTCTTGAAGAAAACTGTCTATTACAAAGAGTTGGGTGTTGGATCCTGACAGAGGAGTCTAGCTCCCTGCACACACTTAGTGGGTTGTGTCCAATGTTGTCAATTTTTTTAACTGAGTTCTTATTGTCCTGAATAGGTCAGCCTTCAACTCTTGGGCTCTGCTTCAGCATCTGAGTAGCTGGACCCACCAGCACACACTGTGCGTGCCTCACTGTGCCAGTCTGTGATGGTAACTGAATTCTGAGAGGTATAGTTCCATTCAGATCACATGACGTGAATACCAATGTCCAATCCCAGTGAGTTCTGCTTTTCTCGTCACCAGGAAGCAACTTCCCTTTCTGTTAAGATGGACACAGGAACTAGAGACAGCAAGCCAGTGTCTCTTGCTTGAGTCTTTCCTACTCTACCTGAAAAGCAGATGCTCTTCTTCCTTTCCCCAAGTTAGTAGTCAGCAAATTGTACCAGAGAGAGGTGAGTGCTACAGAGTGTCCACAGAGCAGTCCATCCAGCTGCAGCACATTCCAACTCTTCCTCCAATGGGGACCAACTGTGAATCTGGGTATCTGACCTGCCAGACAGGTATAGTCACCCAAAGTCAAGTTCAGAGGGAAATTTCGTTTTGAGTTTATAATGTCCTTCTGATCACAGAAAAGCATATAAAATGTCTTTTAAGATGAGGTTGAACTCTGTAGTCCAGCCTTGGCTAGAACATGCAATGTCCCTGGTTAGTCCCAAACTCACGCTTCGTTCTCTTGAGTGCAGTCTCTGGCACTAGAGCATGTGCCACCATGCTTAACAAACAACATGAATTTTATTTTTTTCTAAAATAAATTCCTTTATTCTAAAGGAAAAAAAAACCTTTTTCTTGGGAAAGAAATATTCTTTTTTTTTTTTTTTTTAAATTTAAGACAGAGTTTCCCTGTGTAACAGCCCTGGTGGTCCTGGACTTGCTTTTCAGGCCAGGCTGGCCTTAAATTCACAGAGATCCACTTTCTCTGCCTCCTGAGTACTGGAATTAAAGGCATGAGCCACTGTGCCTGACAAGAAAAATATACTCCAGGCTGATGCTCTTTCTTTCTTTCTTTCTTTTTCTTTCTTTCTTTCTTTCTTTCTTTCTTTCTTTCTTTCTTTCTTTCCTTCCTTCCTTCCTTCCTTCCTTCCTTCCTTCCTTCCTTCTTTCCTTCCCTCCTTCCTTCCTTCCTTCTCTTTCTTTCTTTCTTTCTTTCTTTCTTTCTTTCTTTCTTTCTTTCTTCTCCCCCCCTCTCTTTGCTTTTTGAGACAGGGTTTCTCTGTGTAGCCCTGGCTGTCCTGGAACTCACTCTGTACACCAGGCTGGCCTTGAACTCAGAAATCCACCTGCCTCTGCCTCCCAAGTGCTGGGATTAAAGGCATGTGCCACCAATGCCCGGCTTGCAATGCATTTTCTTTATGAATATTTTCAGCCACACAGTTCAGTGCAAATAGCATCTTTTCCCATGCTGCAAAGGTGCCTTTTATTTACAGATAATCCATGACCTCAGAGGCACAGACTTCCTGAAAAAGAACATTTTGGATCATGGGGAGAGAAGCCTCAGGGCTGAGGAATTTTCTCCTTTTCATGACTAAGAAGTGATCTACATCTTTTGCTCCCTGCAGGCCTTGATGTTATTATTATTTTTTTTTTTGCAGCTCTGTGTGGCAGTCATTCAAGCAGCTGGGCACTGTGCATGGGAGGTGGAAATCAGAGCGAAACTCACAAGTGGGTTTCCAAAAGCGTTCACACGTCAGAGCACAGCACCGGGCCCTCATGACCACGCCTAGTGAACATGGCTTGAGTGGTGTCACTTGTGCCTGAGCTGAGAGTCAGGACTAGGAAAGCAGAGCATGTCCTGTAATTTACTCAAGGCCCTGGCCTCCTCTGCCTTAGTTTCCTCGTTGGAAAAGAATGGATGGACCTTAAGACAAACTTTCCCCAGTTTACACAGTGTTTGCACCCAGTAAGTCAATACTGCATTCTTTTAGACGCACAAATAAGTATTTACGTATGCTTAGTTAACTTCTACTTCACTTACAACTGCTGTAAAAACTGCATTCCGTGCCATGCTTGAAATGTTCCAAAGGACAGTTCAGTGAGTAAATTGCACCCAAGGTTTCTAAAATAATAACAATAAAAAGACATAAGCTGGTGAAAAGATACTCTCTAGGACATTCCTGTTTGTTGTGATTCTAATTTATATATAATTGAACATAAGCTCAATATTTTCTCACTTTGCTAAAGAATTCTGAGGATGACACTGGCTTATGGTTTACACTTCTTATATTTACATTATGTAATACATTAGCCACAGTAAATGTTCAAAATTTTCTCCCAAAGAACTTTACTTCTTTGATAGGGTTTTTTTTTTTCTTTTTAGCACCATTGACATTAGGGGTTGGACTACTCTTTGTTGTATAGGTTTGTCCTATATACCGGAGGATGGTTAGGAACAGTTACGATGCTGTGACATCTGCTCACCAGATGCCAGCAGCTTATCCACAATTGTCAGGGGGGCACTGTCACACACGGAGTGAGAACTGTCACAGTCACTCTGACTAATCAGAATTCTCACACTCAGCTTTATTACAGACTATATGGATTTGGCATGAAATGTTCATGACTTTCTACCCGCAGTAAAGTTTTAGTTATTGTACTAATAATGGGTTTTATCCTGATAATTTTATATAGCTACCTCTATCTCATTATACCGTGCTCTTACCTGTCCTACTAAGTCTCCATCTCACTCTGCTGGCCTTCTCCCTCCCAATACAGTCTTACTTTCCTGTCACACATGCACCTGCACACGCACAGTCACATACACAAGCACAGGATGCCTGCCCACACTCGAGGGAACATGATGGTTTATCTTTATTCTATTATCCTCTCTTGTTCTCCATCCTTCTGTGCTCCCTTCCCACTCCTCACAGGCCATCGTTGACTTCCAGCATACACATATACAACTAGGAATGTAGCTCACTAGGAGGGCACTTGAGTAGCAAGTGCAAGACCTTAGGTTTGTCCCCGTCACCAAAACAAACAACTTTTAAAAATGCAATATTTGTCTTTTTTTCTAATCTAGGTTATTATTGAGTCCTATTAGCAGAGTTGGAAGTCACACAGGGGGGATTGAAATTTAAACATAAAGGGCTTATAATTGTAACTTACATATATTTCAAAAAAGGTAATGACTCAAATGTCCTTCTTTCAATGTGATGTATTTTATTGCAAGATAAATCCCTAGGAAATATAAAAGAGAAGTATTGCTTTGCTTAGCTGTTAGAAATCTAGTAAGTATAACTAATAGAAGTTGGTAATTGAAAATATATTGTTTTTGTCTAAACTCTAAACCTTTGCATTTGAATATTTTAAAGCCGCTTACCCAGTCAATCCATCTCCCAAGAATTTCACCCTTTATGATATTCAAATATATAAAACTATAGCTCTTGATAGATTCTGGAGTTAGTCATGTTGAGAGGTTATATGACTTTTTTATGTGTCTTTCCATGTAGGCTAGGCTGCCCTTAAGCTCCCAGTTTTCCTACCTCAGCTTCCCAAGTTCTGAAATTACTAGGCAATTACTAGGTAATTCCAGGTACTGGGGCCCTTGACACAGGTTCTCAGCTCTACTTCAGACTTGCTGAGTCAGTAACTGCCACTGAGGAGGGATGCCAGAACCCAGTTCTAGCAAATGCTTCAGGTGATGTCGTGACGCTTCTGGCTGTTTGCAAGCATTGCTACAGTGCCATGGTCCTCCTCATGGTACCTTGGCTTGGCACTCAAACCTCCAGAAGGTCTGGCTGGAGAGGTGCCCATGAGAGTTCCTCTAACAGGGTTTTAACTTTTGTCTCCACTCTTTTTTTTTGTTGTTTTTTGTTTTTTTTTTTTTTTGGTTTTTTGAGACAGGGTTTTTCTGTATATCCCCGGCTGTCCTGGAACTCACTCGGTAGACCAGGCTGGCCTCGAACTCAGAAATCCGCCTGCCTCTGCCTCCCGAGTGCTGGGATTAAAGGCGTGCGCCACCACTGCCCGGCTTTTGTCTCCACTCTTGTGTTTAGTGCCTAGCATCTTTCCCTCCAAGAGACCTGTCTGAGGCTGGTGAGATGTCTTAATGAATATGGATACTTATGGCCAAGACTAATGTCCCGAGTCCGACCCCTCAGACCCCCATGGTGGAAGGAGAGAACCAAACCCTACAAGCTGTCATCTGATCTCCACACCTGTCTCTGACAAGAACTCTCTCTCTCACACACACACTAAACAAAGATGTAAACACATACACACACACACACACACACACACACCTTCAAATTAATTCAGGTGGCTCTTCTCTAGTCTTAGATGCAATGGCTTGAAGGATTAATTCCTTCTGTCCTACCACGCGGTTTCTTTTTTTTTAAAGGTTAGATTAGCAAACATTTTGGACTTTGCAGGACACTCATAGCTTATGTTGCACATTCTTTATTGATTCTCTTTTTTCTTTTTTTAGCTTCGTTAATGGTTTGGGTAGAAAGTAAACCCTCCACTCCCTCCAACACTCCCCCTCCCCCCGAAAATAAGAAAGCATATAATGGAGATTTGATTCTCAGCTGGGAGTATATTTATCAAGAAGACACTAAGGTCATCCACGAATTAACCTACTGATGAGTCCCTTCCTAAATGTGTTAGGAGAAGGCGGTGCCTGACTGGAGGGAGCAGGTGCGTGGGGACGTGGCTTATTGCTGGGCATTTCTTCTTTCACCTTTTCTGGGCTTTGCTCTACCACAGCCTTCCAGAATCATGCTCTGCCTCAACACATTTCACAATGGAGCCAGCTATCAGGAACCGGAAACTTCTGAGATGAAGGGCCAAAATGAATCTTGCCTCCTTACGTTGTTCTTATCGGGCACCCTGTCACATCAACTTGCACAAGTCCTGTAAGAGCGTCAAAGCTCTCCCAACTCATGAGCCACAGTGAATGTGAACATGAGCCAGAATTGATCGAGGTATGCCAAGATCTAAATAGAAGCATATGCCTTAGAAAACAAGGGTCGTGTGAGTTTCCGTAATGGCTCACATCCTACTAACATTTTCCTTCTGTAAATGGAGTTCTTCTACTTTTGAAGCTTGTCTATATGATTTAGATAATTTAAAATGCATACAAGCCATTTTAATATTAGAGATAAGCTGTCACCCTCACAGACCGACATAACTGCAGATTTTCTTTTATCCTGGTTTTAGAGCCAGGCTCTTGCCAAGCAGCCCTGGGACAGGTATGAAACCCACTATGTAGACCATGCAGATCTCCAACTTGCAGCAGTCCTCCCATTTTCCACCTCCTCAGTGCTAGGATTATAAGCAAGCACTGGCAAACCTAGTCAATAATTGCACAACTTTACTGCTTGAAGAGATGTTAGTATCGAATTCATCCACAGACAACTCATTACTTACAAATAGATATGCTCAACTAACTTACAAAACCTGGAGGGATAGCAGGCCTTCGAATGAATCCTTATGTAATTCAGTCAGGTAATTTTCACTGAGGATTCTGGAAAATTAAAAGGTTACCTGGATCAAAAATCATCAAACAGATGGAGAACATTGGTGGTGAAATAGGATGAAGAGGTACACACTATCACGTGCTATTGCCTAGAGTGTAAGTTGGCACTAGTTATTTTTAGGGCAATTAAAATTTCCCATGTACAATGGTCTCGATCCTAAAGACTCTTTTTCTAGATATCTGGTCTATAGAATCACTCCTCCAAGGTATTCAGGACATTTATTACAGCCAGACATGTAACAGCAAAATCAGATAGTCCCTAAACACCAGCAGGATAATATTAAATTCTCATGGATGTGCACACACTATGAAATATATGTGCAGTACTAGAAAGAAATAGAATAACTATGTGTTAAAAAGTAACTTTCAATATGCAGAAAACATCAAGTTGCAGGATGTTATCATTTATGTAAAAATTAAAAAGGAATTTGTGACGAATCTGTTTTTCTATATGCAAATATGTCTGGAAGGATATATACCAAAATCAGAGTAGCAGTTACCTATTCTAGTTTATTTTCAACTTGACAGAAACTAGGGTCCTCTGTGAAGAGGAGATCTCAACTGGGAAGATGTCTTCACTGTGGGCACGTTGGACATTTTCTTTATAAATTACTGATATGGGAGGGCCCAGACCACTATGGGCAATGTCATCCTAGGACAGGGGGCCTGGGATGAACAAGAAGACAAACTTCCCAAGCCATGGGGAGCGAGCCAGTAAGCAGTGTTCCTCCGGGCCTCTGCCTCAATTCCTGACACTTGTAGGCTTCTTTCTTAAGCTCCTGTAAGGATGGGTTACAATTTTAAGTTGAAGTAAAACTCTTTTCTCTCCCAGTGGCTTTTGTTCATGGTCTTTATCACAGAAAAACAAAACTAACACAAACATCCCAGTGGTGAAAACTTAGAGCACAAGGAAGATTTCTCTATATCTGATATTTAATTTATATCCATTAAGAATGTAATCATAGGTCAGATCTGGTGGCGCACAGCTTTAAACCAGCACCCAAGAAGCAGAGGCAGGCAGATCTCTTTGAGTTTGAGGACCACCTGGTTTGCTTGAGTGAGTTTCAGGCTAGCCCAGGTGACACGGAGAGACATTGTCTCAAAAAACCAAAACAGCCAAAAATATCATTGATGACTTCTGCATGAGAGACAAGTTTAAATTGTCAGTGCTTCCAGAGAGAGTCCATAAAATTTAATCTAAAAAGTGGGGTAGCAAAATGACCTCAAGGGAAAGGGGACTTGTTGCCAAGACTGAAACTTGAATTCAGTTTCTTGAGCCCACATGGTAGAAGAAAAACAAGTTCTACAAGCTGCCCCCTGACTTCTACATACAAGCTCTGGCTTGGTGTGCATGCAAAATAAAATGGAAAGCAATTTTTGGCAGAATTGATGGTGTCTGAACCTATGGTCTCATGCATTGTGCTAGGCAATTGTTCTTCCTTCTGTGACATTTAGTCACCACAAAATTTACCAGAGAAATTCAGTCAATATGGCTTGATTTGGGTTATGAAGAGGAAATGCCTCATCACATGGGTATTTGTCTCAAAACCTGGACCAAGAAGGAACTTACAGTGCAGTGGGTTTTTTGTTTCTTTGTTTTATATTCATATTTGGAGAAAACATACTCACAGTTTCTCAACCCAACGGTATGCTTTCCATACATTTTTGTCAATGTAAGAGATAATATTTCCTTGGAAATTTCTGTGAAGAAACAATTTATATACTTAAATAAACAGAAAAAGAATCAGTAGAAACCATTGCACCCTCATGGAGGTGCTCGATGGACAACAAAAGACGCCATCGACTCTAATTCCCAGATCTCTCAGGTTCCAAGGGAACGCAGTTAAGGGTGCAGGGCTACTGGTGCAAGCATTGAGACACTTCCTCAGAAGGTGAACTTCTAGCCCATGGGCTCACATTCCACTCCTCTCTGTGTTGTAGACTCTAGAGCCCAACTCTAAATTTAGCCAGTCGCTACTAAATCCTACCTTCTCCTTCTTATGGACTGTCATGGCGGAGGGCCTGGAGGCCATTATATTTGTGGATTTTAAAATGGTCCAGACAGAAGAATCAGAACTCCAGGCTAGATTAGACTACTGTTCTGTCTTTTTAAAAAAATTCTTCTGTCTTAATTCCTTTCTTTCCTGAAAATGTCTGGTGGCTTTTCATGTCTCCTCTCTCCACTTCCTAAATCTTACAGTTGATACTCCAGACCTCACATAATGTCTTTGCTTTTAATCTGACTTGTCTATCTCCCCATCTTTCTTATAATCATGCCTTTGCCTAGGTTGTACTCTCTGATTTTACTGTTCAATAATTATAGACATCCTTCGAGCCATGGGGAAAGGTTTACTGTTCCCTTGTCCCCTCTTTATCCTTTTCACGTTCTAGATACAACACACATAATACGTGACTCTCACAGTTCTTAGCTTCAAGTTGCACACAAAAGATTATGTATCCGAGGATAAAGACAGGTTTCTGAACATAATGGAGATTGCAAGTATTAACAGCTAACACTCATGGATTCTAAGAACTAAGATTCAGTACCCACAGAGTCAACTAAGCCTCACAACAATCCTATGAGAGAGTAGCTAACACGCTCCCCATTTTACAGGTGAGGAAGTTCATTCCCAGCTAAGCGCCCTTCCTAGAGTTGTGGAGTTACCACATGAAAGACCTGGGTCCCACCTCTCTGCTGCATCCTCACTAGTGAGATGAGTTATAAAGAGACTGGAGGGAAAAATAGGAAGAGCCAAAGTTGAACTCATTATAATTACATAATGGGGCTAAATAAAAATGAATGGAGGAGGAGACTATGGTTAAAAGACAACTTCACAAGCAAAGGTAAGAGCAGAAAGTCAGTCAGTGTTGGTTGGGGTGACAAGGAAGGTCCAGGAAGGTGTTGAGGAAAAGGCCGACATGTCAAGCAGAATGAAAAACAGAAATAAGAAAAAGGTGATTCTTACAAAACAGTTAGGGTGCCCTTGTAGGTGCTGGGACTTGGTACAGGCACCTGATGGAGTTTCTGCATTGGGCTGAGATGATTACACAATAGTGTGTGATTTTCACACAAGCAGAAGTCACATATGTTGGTGCTCATGGAGGCATTTGGTTTCTTTTGGAAAATTAAATTTTTTTCTGTATTAAAATTTCCAGCATATAGAGTTATGGTAGGTCCAAGATCCACAGGTTCAAGTGTGACGCCACTTGGGATTTGCTGAGCTGTGATCTCAATCATAGGTGCAAAAGGGCTTACTAGTGTAACAGACTGTGGTGGTGTGGAAGATTGTTGGCTTGCGGGTGAAGACCAAATTGTGACTTCAGTTGGCTTTGGCTGATGAGTCTGAACCTGGCTTGACAGTGAAAGTATCACCTCATAGTGTGTTGAAGGAGGGGATACAGCTGTTGGGACTGTAGAATATGTAGTCTCTGGATAAGTAGTTGTTAGGGCTATCGAATGTACAGTTTCTGGATGAGTGGTTGCTGGGACTTTGGATTGTGTAGCCTCTGAGTTGAGACGCTGAGATTGAGCATGGACAATTGCTAGAACTGTCACTTTGAGGTGTAATGGAGATTGAACGACAGTCTCCTTAGATGACTCTGTAGACTGAACTGGTGCAGAACGTTTAACCACTGTAGCAGGTGGTGGAGCTATGGAAAATTCTGGGTATGAGGGCTCAATTGTGACTTGAGTTGGATTTCCATGCAGAGTCTGAACCTGGTCTTCAGGTAGAAGGGTCACCTCATGGTGCATTGGAGGAAGAGCTGTAATACTGTATGTAGCTGGCAAAAGTTCAGTCTCCACACTGGATGGTGAAGCTAGTCCATATTCTACTTTTATATGTTGAACTGTGACTTTAGGAGAAACCAGATGCTGAGTTGGATCCTGAACTGGTGTTATTTCATAAAACACTGGAGCTTTTGCTGTGACCTCCTCATGCGGCTGTTCAGGTTCAGGAAGGATCTCCAGTATATGTGGAGAAGTCTCAACATTTAGATTGGGGCTTGGACTTACTGTAAGTTCCAGTTCCAAAGGTTGAACGGTAACTTTAGTTAGATTTGGTTGTTGAATATAAACTTGTTTTGAAAGTGGCATCTGACGGTATTGTGGAGGAGAAACTGGACTTTCTTGTGGGATTGTAGGCCCGGAACTTATGGTGAATTTCGGGTCCAAAGGCTGAAATGAGGCAGCAGGCAGTATTAGATACTTAGTTTTATCCTGATCTGGTGTTTGAATTGTCACATCTGGGTACCCTGGTGCTGTAGTGACAACCTCTTTAGCTGGATCTGAGGCCTGAGTTTTTGTCTCCTGTACAGTTTGAGAAAGTTCTACCTCAGGAGTAGGTTGTGGAGACATGCTAAGTTCCAGATCCAAAGGGTGAGATGTAACTTCACTTGGATGTGGACCCTGAGTATGAACCTGTTCTGGTAGTGTCACCTGAGAGTACTTTGGAGGAAAAATTGTAGTCTCCTTCAAGGTTGTTAAATTGTAAGCCTCTCTGTAAGGCTCTGGATGTATGGTTAGATCCAGGTCCAACAGTTGAAATGTGACAATTGGTAAGGTTGGATTCTCAACTGCATCTTTACCAGATGTTGCAAGTGTCACTTCCTGATAGACCGGGGCTTGAGCTACAGCTTCCTTTGGTGGATCTACAGGCTGAGTTGTGCTCTCTTGTGTAGTTTGAGAAAGTTCTACCTCAGTATCAGGCTGTGAAGTTGTGCTAAGTCCCAGATCCAAAGACTGAACTGTGACTTCAGCTGGGTTTGGATGCTGAAAGAGAACCTGTTCTGGAAGTGTCATCTGAGAGTACTTTGGAGAAGGAACTGTAGTCATCACCTGGGTTGTAGAGTGTTCAGTCTCTGTAGTGGAGTCTGAAGTTGTGGTGAGTTCCAGGTTCACAGACTGAAAGGTTGTTAGGTGCTCATTTTGAACCTGACCTGGTGTTGAAACTGTCATCTTCTGATATAGAGGGGCTGGAGCTACAACCTCTCTAGGTGGTTCTGTAATCTGAGTTGTGGTCT